CTGTTCGGTTCCGCCAGCAAAACCTTGGTTACCGTTACCGCGCGGCGTTTGGCCCCGATGCTCTTTAATGTGGCCACAGTAGATCCTGTAAGTACCCCATCTCTCCTCCTACCTTTATCTACCTCTTCCTTTATAGTCCCCGTCTGTATTGATAATCATAGTTTCCAAGCATTAGTCGACACCGGTGCTAGTGTTTCCCTCATCACTCCTTCTAGCATACCTCAGACAGCTCGGTGTCGTATAGACCCTGTGGGAGCCTACGGCTGTTGACTTACGCTGTCTGCCTTTGTTCGCCGCTCACTTAGCAACCGCTGCCAGTACGCCCCCTTCTCGCCACAGCAAGCCTTGCACAAGCGCTAGCCAATCGATGACCGCCTGTCCACCTGGTTGGCTGCAACTTCACAATAAGCCCATCCAACAAGCAAGGCGGGACACACTCGGCCTTCTGCCTCGGCTCGAGACGGACGCGACACTGCAGTGCTCTCTCACGGTTCTGATGGTCAAAATTAACGTCAGGCCGAGTGAACCACCTTTCCACTATCTATTCTCCAAATTGTTCTGTACAGAATATAACCTTCTCCTACTCTGGTTCTCCAAGACTCACCTATAATCTCCTAAGGAATCGGGCCTGGAAGATCACAGTCGTTAGAGTTAACCGGCGTAGCCTTAACACAAATTTTGCGATAACCCACTTTTCCGGTTTTCGTCCTACATAGGCCGCTAACGGTTCTCAGCTTCCCATATCATGCTCAATTTCTGTACCATTCTGCTTGTGTGATTCTGAAGTTACTCATGATTTTTTAGATACCTTCCCTTGTCCCTGGCCAGTAGTCCTCGGTTAAGATTTTCTCACCGATTATAATTGCCTTCTCCATGCCCGTGATCGACGCGTAGTCCTCACACAAACCGGGAACCCCTTACCTACTGACCATCCATCCCCCTCTGACCTGTGGGCGTTCGCAGGTTTCTCTCGCCCGCACTAGATGCCCCCTGGCTTTTGGTTTTCAACTCCGTCTACTTCCCCCGCTTGGCCTGTGAGTCTTCCCGCTGAAAAAAAACACCGTCGGATGAATGTTCTGAATGAAGTTTGTCGGTGTAGTTTGGGCTCCAGTTTTCACTTGAATCTGACCTTCGTGTGAAAAAAAGTGTTTTTTTTAAGATGGCGACTTCCATTTCCCGTTTCCATGACGAAGACGTTCTAGGTTAATAATCCCATACCGTGGTGTATTATGTTCTCTGGGATATCAGAAGCACATTTAGGCGTCCTTTATGACGTTTAGTTTACTGCGATTAAAACGAAATATTTTTTGTTTGTAGCCAGCGTCTTCTTTGCGTCATTTACTGTTTTCAACATCCTTCGTTCTAACGGCAGTTGCCGTTTCAGAACCATAGCACGGTCCCTCGGTTACGAAGGATTGACGCATATGGATAACGTCCTTCGACAAGGCGGCAATTGTTGGAATTGCCTGCGGAAAGTCAGCCCTCCCACTGAAGCACGAACCTCGTGTTCTTGTCCGAGATGATGGCGGACGTTCTGTTGTTTCTCGTGCGGTGAAATGCGTTTACATTATCCGCTTTCTAACCTTCAACGGCTTTTGAGATCTCTTCGATTCGTCCTTTTTAGCTGTAATGTCTAAGTCCGCCATTTTACCTATTGCTGATTACGCTTGAGGGAGCTGTGGAAGCGTATGCTGTTTCTGGCTTATTCAACGCCTGTCATCTGCAATTTCGTGTCTTCAGGATGCATCTTTCGAACGATGTCCAGCATGCCATGTCTCCTTCGTCCTTATAGTTACCGTTAATTAAACTTAAATCACTTTTATTCCGTGAGGCGATTTTGAAGTCCCAAATTGGTGAATCGATTCATCCGAATCCAATACTTGTAACACCAACCAACTCATAGAACTAGGTGTACAGCAAGAGTCTAGTGGTCTCGCGCGACTCTCTCGACGAGCACCGTTTAGGACTTGTGAAGATGAACCGTTTTGGCTGCGTTCAACGTTTAGACATTGGAATGAGGGAGAATAAGTAGAATACTCAATCGCTGGCACAACAATTTTATTCGCCTGACTTTCAACGTCCGTCTTGGCTCAGGGACATTCACAGAAAACAACAGTAGGAACGTGTCTTTCTGCGATGTTAAGCGGTCCCGTTGATGGTTATTGCTTTCTGAATTATAATGGTAATGGAGTTTGACATAACCGTCACCTCAGCATGTTGAAGCATCACCACCAAATGTTCAGGACCAAAATGGGCTCATGTTGATCGGAAACCTGACGAGCGGTTCGTAGGTCACCAATTAAGCCTCGAACTCGGGCAAATTTCTTTCGAAGTTTTTTTTATTCGACCGTATGCAAACATGTCGTCGCATCTACTGCAACTGTGCTCATAGTCTACCTGGTCCTTCAACGTATGCCCTTAAGTTACGGCCTCTTATGTAACGGTTATTACAGTTTCTCCATTTTTCGTCCATTTTTTGTCGATTGAGTCTGCAACAAACAACAGCGCACCGTAGTTGCAACTCCGGCATTTCGGTGATGATCTCGTGACCCCTATTATCCCCTCGTAGCCATTGTTTATGTAAAAATTCCACATGACAAGTGAATACTACCTTCACTGCTTACTTTGATTGGTCTAACAGCTTAAGTAATCCAGCTGTGACTTTAAATTTGTGCCCATCCTGGGTTGCTGTTTTGCGACTCGGTCCAAGCGATTGTGATTGGCAAAACTACTAATAATGAATATGTTACTAGCTACGTGCCAGTAGCACATATTTTTATCTTTTGGTATCCGGCAA